CACATATATATTTGCTATAAAGTAATATTTACAAACACTTTTCTTCCTTTTTTCAGGAAAAAAAAAATATTATGAAATTACTAATGTGTATCACAAATAATAATAAGCTCATAAATCTATAATTTAAAAATATTTTGAAATGAAAACATTAGATAAATTTTAAGTATGAGTTATGTAATAATCTCTTATGCTCGTGCGATAGAAAAACAAAAATCTTAAATGCTCATAAATTGACCGTAATAATCCACCATTACCTACGTATAACTAATTTTTAGCTATAAGTAATTAAAAGTATGATGAAACACTCATGATGTGATTTGTGATAACCATTGAGTCCAATAATTAACTCGGCACCTATTAATGATGGATCCAATAAATTTTAATAGTAAAAGTAAGTGATACCGAAGTATGATGGAATACTTATAAGGTGACTTGTGATAAACTTCGAGTATAAGGATTAGTTAAGGATACATCTGATAAGTTTGACGAGGAACTTTCTATGCTTAAGATCCATGTGGGTTAATTCATTAAAATGCTTCATCATACATTTCATAATGCACCATATTTGCATATGGTTAATTAAGATTAACCATATTGTATATATATTTAATATGGATCATAAATGCTCCAAATTTGTGCTAGGCATTTCAAGAACTTAGAAATTAAGTCTAAAATTTATGATTTCTATTACAACACTAATTTTTATTCTAAAGTCCTAAGGATCTTTTCTTATATAGGAATCATCAACTATATAACCTGTAGCGCCTGGGAAATTGAAGAAGAAAAAAAAAAAAATTGGCCGAAAGGGGCCCTGGGCCTAATTTGAAATTTTTTGAAATACGTGCTGGTACCAGTAGTGCGTTTCAGTTCTCCGGAAAAAATTCAGGGAAAATTAGGGACAGCCTGTAGGCGCACTGTGAAGCCGTGTTCGGACCCCGAAATGAGTAAGGACCCCTCACCCTATTTCCTATCACGGTATTAAAGTTCAATAATGATAAAACGGTATTTCTTGAATCAACGAATGTGTGAAATTGCCTAAGGTCGCTAATGGAGCCCGAGTCTAGTGTGTTTGTCGGTTAACTGTTATTTGACCTATTTTACAGTTTTAAACGCAGCATGAGGTTTGATGTTTTCATTTTATGGTTTCGTGTGCATATTTTACTGTTTTATTAATTATGGATTGAATGACTGGGATATTGACGCTGTATGTTATCCGTTTGGCATAAATTACTGTTTTGCTTGTTTGTATGTGAATTGATGATGCTGACTGAGGAAAAAGAGAATAAAAGATTATGTAAATTGGTAATTGTATAATGTGGTCAGTCTGACTAGATATCCTGGGAGATGGTGGACGGACCGGGTCCGTAGGGAACTCTACTGGGATTGTGGTCTCCCATACCGGACGGGGTATGGAGATCTTATGTGTTTTGGCGCTCATACCGGACGGGGTATGGGGACGGTCCGTTTCACCCTCATACCGGACGGGGTAATGAGGTTTATAGTTTTGGCGTCCATACCGGACGGGGTATGGGGACGGCCCTGGAATACGATTTCAAGTGTTAAGGGTTAACGGGTAGCGGGACTCCTATGGATCCCCATGGATACTAGTGGGCTGGTAAATGAGGAAAATATATTGTGTAACGATTGAATTACGAAAGGCTTGATAAGTATTACATTATACAGTTTATATATGATTTCATGATGATGATGATGTTATTGTTTTCGTATATTGACTTATGAATTTCACCGAGGTAAGTGAATGGTAAAGGTTTTATTATTGATAAAAGGATTTGTTGTAAATTATGCTCCATTGGTCTTTTTGTGTTTTCTACCCACCTTTACCTCCGTGACGGTGAGATATCGTGATGTCTTTACTGGGTTAGTGTAGTTCATTCCTTATTTAATCATTTCAGATCAAGAGGACATCGTTCCCGAGCCGGTTCCGCATGAGGACGACGAAGGGGACGCCTAAAGACTCCCTAGTCACATTCGTAGTTTTTTTACTTTCAAGTTTCTCCTTTTGGTAGTTTAATCTTTTATATTTTATGAGCACGTTTTTGGTTTTAGTGTAAGGGATGTTATTCAAATTTTGACTTCGCTTCCGCATTTGATATTTATAATATAATTTCCATTTAAATTTCCGGGGCTGCTACATAACCCAATGAGCAAGTCATGACAAAAAATCAAATGCATATTGTTATTATCAAAATCATAGTTTTAAAACTATTACATGATAATGTCGTAATAACCTAATTATTGACTGACGTAAGAGTAATTCCCATACAAGGTCGGTTATGGAATCATCAAACCAATTATGAGTTAATTTTCATTCACTCCTCAACCTTTTAGGGTGTAAACAAAAATCTTAAAAAAAAAGTGTTAGATCAAGTCTCTACTATAGACTAACTAAAAACGAAGATGGTATTATTAGGGTTCCAAATGTTGGATATGAAAGGTTCATTTCTCAAATATTATTATTTTCAAAAAGATAGTTTAATCTTTATTAAATGCCTTATAATTTAAATATACAATGTACATGTATAGAGTAATGTGCATATACATTACTCTATATAATTAAAATGTTATTATTGCTTATTATTATTATTAAAACGTTATAATTTTTTTTAAAAAAAAATAACTAATTTTATTAAAATTTTTAAAAGTAATATGTTAATATTCAGAGATAAAGACTTCCGGACTCACTCGAACATTAAGATAATAACTCATTGTTTTTGCTAGTCTGTGTATCAGGTCGTTACCTTATCATCTAATCAAACTAAATATTATGTCGAGTTATTGATTCAGTAAGATTCTGTAATATTAGATGACATAAATAAATTCAGAGTCATATTTAGCGGTAGATAATATGACAAATTTCAATCGCTGAACATCTATTTTTAAGATATTAAATTCAATAACATTGACAACTATGTATAACATATAATGAGATTATATTAAAATATTATAATTAAATATACGACGTGCAATATATATTTAATATATTTTATATTTGTCAGATTATTTTAAATAAAAAATATATTATTTAATAAATTTATATGTATATTATGGATATGTGAAACTAATTACAAGAATAATTGACATTTTTTTACCAGTGACTTAATGTAGTGAAGAATATATCCATATACTTGTCACATTTTTATAGTTTGTAAAACCAAAGAGTCTTTGACTTATTATATATATATATTTTTTGTCAATGTGTGCTTGTAAGCTTTGTAATAATGTTATATATATATATATATATGTTTTTGTGGTAAATAGTGGAAATTTAAAAATTAAATAGCTTATAAGTTCTTATAACAATATTGCCAAAAAAAGTTGACCCTTTTTTTTTAAAAGGTTATAAATTCTCCAAAGAATATTATTGATTAGATAAAAGCTTGAATTATCACTTAATAACATATATATACATACATACATATATATATCTCTCTCTCTCATAAAGCATAACCCCTAATTATTTATTATCCATCCTTTTTTTTTCACTTTTTACTGCAAATGAAATCACTCTTTGAGTAAGTGATAGGTACTATTTTTATTATTTTATCTTGTCAATAATATATTTCTCAAATTATTATAACATAATAATTAAGTCAAATAAGTACAAAAATAAAATAAAAATAGTAACAGTTAAGATTTTTATATATTTTTTTTTGAAATTCACTCGGTTCAAATTTTATTAAATATATAGAATTTATCAATTTATAAATATATTATAAATTAATAATAATTGATTTATAATATTTAATTTAATAAAATTAATAATTTAATTTAATAATATATTAATAAATTTACAATAATTAAAATAAATTAATTAGTAAGAGATTCAAAATAAAATGTTATCATTCACTTAATTTGTCAATAAAATATTATCATTAGTTATATATTTATTGAATATATAAATGAACTAATTTAAATTATAAACTTATGTTATTTAAATTTATCATTAAATTTTAGATCGTACCAACTTATACACTTGTAGATTTGTCAAATTTATTCTTGATTATTTTTTAAAAATTGATAGCTTATAAACTCAGCTTTAACAATATTTTTTTAAACAATATCAGCTTATTTACTATTAAAAATTCAATAAATTTAATAGTTAATACGCTTATAATAAATAACAATTTTTTTTTCCTAAACTCTATTTAAAATAAATAAGATTTATCCGTAAAATATAATTTAAAAATCACACTTATATTAACTACGATAATATAAAATTTTTATAGATATCAAAATTAAGTTTTAGATAAATACAATTTGATAAATAATTAAATTATATTATCTTAATTTCACAGAGAATTATTTTACAAACTATTTTTTTATAATTTTTTTTTCTATTTCTAAATGAAAAATGTGTAAATACTAAAATAAATAATACAAATCAAAACGATTAATTCTACCAAAAATTTGAAAAAAAAAAAGATAAACACAAAAATTTAGGAATTTTTGAGGTAATATTTATCTAATCCACAATTAAACAATTTTCAAAACTTTAAACTACCCATTTATTATTTTATTAATTAAATAAACATATAAGTTAATAAGACCACATTGACCCGAGTGGACCAACCCGCTGACAAAAAAGAACGTGCAATGTGCTACGTCTTGAAAAAAGAGTAAGAAAACAAAACAAGAATAAGACCACCCCGTGGGTCCCACCAAAAACAACTCAGTATTTGGTGGACGAATCTTAACCGTCAGATTCACTCTGTTTAGAAAGATCATTAATTTATCACTAATTACTTAACTTAATTATATATTAGTAGAATTATAAGTGATTAAGAAGTTTATCTTAATTAAATTTTTAAATAAATAAATATTTTGAAATAATTAAAAAAAAAAAAAAGGGGTGCTAGAAACTTTTGATTTGATCAAAAAGCAGAAAGCACTTGCCACTATTATCTTGTGGGTCCCACACTTTGCCTCTCCTTCTCTCTCCAAAATGTGAAAAAGAAAAAGCTAATATCAGTCAGGCAGCAGCGCGTATACAAACACTATACATATCTACAGACTCCTCCATCATCTACGAACACTTTACATCTTTTTTTCAATCTCTTTACAACTGAAATCACCATTTTTCTTCTCTTCAATCCATGTAAAATATATATACTTATTATATACTGCTTTTTCATTTTCTTATTCTAACCTCTGTGTCCACCCACTGTTCTGGGCCTCGCTGGTATCTCTACTTTACTTTCTCTACACGAGGGGCTTTTCTCATCTTCTGGCTTTTCTTTTTTCTTTTCCCTTTTGGGTCACCATTTTTATGGTTTCATCTTCTGAACTACCAGCGATTTTCCTCTTCACAAGTTCACCCACGAGATGGAGAGAAGCTTCTCCCTCCCGTTTTTATTTCTCGTATTCTCTCTTCTTCTTCTTCTCTTTAGATGTTCCTCAGCTCAAATGCCAGGTACCCTCTCTCTCTCTGCCTCTATATATGCATAGATATGTGTATGTGGGAAAAATATCTATATGTAACTGAGGCATGTAAACTTGCTCTGTTTTGTTGGGGATCTTTTATTTACGGTTTTATCTGTGATAATCTTTAACCGCTTTGCTTCTTATGGCCTATCTCGTTACTTCTTAACTTATCAAGACCTTTTTATATTTTGTAACTCTTTCTTTTTTTCCTCTGAGCTTGTGTTTGGTAATTGCTATAGCCAAAAACAGTCCTTGTGTTCTAATCTGTTTTCTCCTTAGTTGAGAAATTTTCGAGAATTTTTGCCTGGCAATTAAGTGTAAAGTAGGAGAAGATGAAGAAATAGAAAATGAAAGTGAAGGGGCAAAAGATAACATCCAAGTTGGAGCATTTAATTTTTCCTTGGCTTGTTAAGTAAGGTTCGTGGGTGAAATTGTTTTGGCCCAATACAGAATAAGCTGAAGCAACCTCAATCAGTATATTCAACCTAATTGTAGAACCAAAATCGAAAACCCTGGTTCTTGAACAGTTGAGAAACTTAAATGTCTTTGTAGTGACTAGTGACAGTATTTTGTTTTGAAATTGGTAAATTAGTCTCCAATTACCTTCTAATGTTTTGATTGTCGATAGAGATTTTTAGTTCCTTGAAAAAATCATAGAGGTTCACTGAACACTAGTAAGGTATTTCTGTTTTTTGGAGGGGCACTGCCATGGAGTACAAGGTTGAATTTTGGACAGCGATCAGTTTCGTATGCAGTTCATAATTTGTCTTTGGGTGTTCATCTAGTTTCTTGAATCAGGCTAGGGACAAGTAGGTTGTCAACTTATCATAATTCTGCTGTTTGGGATGCTGGTTTGTATAATAGATCATGACTACAGACTTGATGAGAGATATCGAGTGGCTGGTGGTGCATATGCAAATGCCCTGCCTTTTCAGGATATGGTTGTACCTTAGATTCTATTTTGTTTCAAGATTTGTTTCTGCAAATAAGTATATTACTAGAAAAACTAGATTTGAGGGAATGTGATTATTAGAAACCATAATTAGTGTTTGGTTAAAATGATGAGAATACTGGGAGTATCTAATTATTATATTTGATTTGTCAAAAAGATTACAGAGAAATAAAAGTAAAAATCTCATGTTACCGCTAAAATGAGTTAGATTTAATTTTATTCATGATAATAATCAAATAAGTTTATACCAGTAACTAATTTTAATAATTTGAGTACTGATAAAAAATATTTACTAAGAAAATGACATAATTAACAAGATAAAAATATTTCTAAATTATGAAAGTCAAGAGGAGTAGAGTTAGTGAAATAAAGAAAAAAAATTTCTGTCATTTGCTAATTTCTTTTAATAATATCTGATTAAAACTGTTAATACTTACATAATATTTGTCAGTATTATTATTTTGAAAAATGATTGTTATTAGAAAAGAAATGGTAGATACAACAGAAGGCTACTAGATATCCCCCCCAAAAGGATCAAGAACAAGAAATAGAGAAAAGAGTGGAAAAACCAACAAGGTTTGAGAGAGTATTTTTTTTCTGAAAGTAAGGCTTGAGAGAGTATTATTAAGTAAAATATACCTCTCTTCGAGAGTGAGTATTTGATATTCCAGTTCTACATCCAAAAAATATGTGATTGTTGAGTTCTATATAAGAGCTCAAATCATACACTATTAATAATTTAAGTTTAAGTTTTTAAGCACAAGTGGTTTGAGATTGAAATGTTCTTAGGGTTAGTGGTGCTTGGAGATATTGGTACAAATGGTTTCAGAGCACATGTCAGTTTGGTGTGTTCGGCTGATATGATTATTGAACTTGTGCGATTTGGAATTGTGATTTGTGATTGTTGATGTGTGGTCTTGATGAAGATATTAAGGATTTAAGTGGTGGATATTTTGTCCCACATAAGAATGATATATGATTATTGAACTTCATACAAGAGTTTAAGTCACGAACTTTTAATAACTCGAGTTTAAACTTTTAAGGGCCAATAGTTTGAATTTAAAATGTTGTTAGGCTAGTGGTGCTTGGACCCGTGTCCTTACAATGTATCTGACATTTTCCACCTTCAAGGATAATCTAAACTTAAATCTTGAACTAAAAATTGGGTTAAAAAGATCAAATATTCATATTTCTTATACTATCTGATGGACAACTTGAACCAAACAACAGAATTGATGGAACCTGCCAGTTCTTTGTGTCTGGTTTCAGTTATCATATTGTTGGTCATGCAGACATTTAAGTTCAAAACTTTTGTTCTAACTTTCTGCAGCTTTATCATATTGTTGGTCATGCAGAGATTTAAAGTACAAAAATTTTCATTCCAACTTTCTGCAACTATTGAGCAGAAATTGTTGTTCTTTGAATGAGGTTGTTAAGATCAAAATTTTACAAAAATGGCTTCATCAGTCCCCTCTTGCAGCAAGATCTCTTTAGACATTCTGCTTCCTCATAGAACTTATATGGAGTCAGGGGTTGGGATTTGTAAGGTGTTGCTATTAATTACTTCATTGGTAATAACAAAACTTCAATGTGTAATACAGGTTTTGTAAGTCTGGACTGCGGGGGAACAGTAACTTATATTGATGAACTTGGACTTGAATGGGTTCCTGATGATCATCTTGTTTATGGAGAAAAAGCCACAATATCTGTTTCTAATGAGACAAGGAGGCAATATGTGACACTTAGACATTTTCCTGCTGATTCAAAGAAGTACTGCTACAATTTTAATGTCACCAGTAGGACTAGATATCTTGTGAGAGCAACATTCTTGTATGGTAATTTTGACAACAATAACGTTTATCCCAAATTTGATATTTCTCTTGGAGCTACTCACTGGTCCACTATTGTCATATCGGATGCTAATTCTGTGGAGGTGCTAGAGCTAATATTCCTGGCTTCAAGTCCAACTATCAGTGTGTGTTTATCAAATGCTACAATTGGGCAACCATTCATATCTACCCTTGAGCTCCGACAATTCAATGGTTCAATTTATTATACTCCATTTGAAGATCGTTTTTTTCTCAGTGTCTCTGCAAGGATTAATTTCGGTGCCGATTCTGAAGCTCCAATCAGGTTTGCCTAAACAATCTTATTAAGTGAGGCATATATTTGTGATCTTTATGAACTTTAAACCATAAAAATTAAAAGCTTTAAGAATAAAAAGAGAAAAGAAAGGGAGAAACAAACCACGTAATGAAAAAGGCTAAACATAAGAAGGTTTTAAAAAAATTTTGTTCAAACTAATATGCTAGCTGATGTGAATATTGCGGATATCAGTTAAATGTGATCATATAATTGATATGGATTGCGTATCTATACTGTCACATCAGTTTGTAAATGACTTTTCGATGGAACCATGTGTGTTTATAGCATTACTCTTATGTTATTTGTGGTTCATGAGTTGAAATGCCTTTCAAGTATTATAATCAAAGAAGTTGAGCTGGAAAAGCTGTAGAATGAATTAGATCAGTTGTCTTGTTAACTTAACTGCTACTATTCTGGAACAAATCTTTCCTTAATTTGGAAATAAGAATGTGCTATATTCCATTGTCTCAGGTATCCAGATGATCCATTTGATAGAATATGGGAGTCTGATTCTATAAAAAAGGCAAATTACCTTGTTGATGTTGCTGCTGGCACCAAGAAGGTGTCGACCAAAATGCCTATTATTATAAACAGTGATGATAGACCGCCTGAAAAGGTGATGCAGACTGCTGTAGTTGGTACAAATGGTTCACTAACTTATCGGGTGAACTTGGATGGTTTTCCTGGTTTTGGATGGGCATTCTCCTATTTTGCAGAAATAGAAGATCTGGCTCCAGATGAATCCAGAAAATTCAGGCTAGTTCTTCAGAATGATCCCGAATATAGTAAACCTATTGTTAACATTGAAGAAAATGCTCAAGGGAAATATCGTGTCTATGAGCCTGGGTATCCCAACATATCCCTCCCCTTTGTATTGTCATTTAAATTTGTGAAGACATCTGATTCTTCTAGGGGGCCGCTTCTGAATGCTATGGAGATAAATAAATATCTGGAGAAGAATGATGGTACTTTAGATGGTAAGTAAGATGCATGCTCATTCGGTGCATACTATAATTGAAATTTGTGTTTTAGTTTGAGTCCTAAGTTTTTCCTCACGGGTCTTTATTATGCATTTTGGTGTATGGTAGTTAATTCTTCCTTCACAACTATGCAATTAGCTGAATGTTTCGAGTTTCTGACTCTTTTGTTTCTGGCACTAAGTTTATACGTTTTGCAGGAAATGTCATTAATGATGTGGTATTACTTTACTCGTCATCAGAGTGGGCACAAGAGGGTGGTGACCCCTGTTTGCCAGTTCCATGGTCATGGGTGCAATGCAACCAGGATGAGCGGCCAAGGATAGTTTCAATGTAAAGATTCTTTCACTTCATAGTTCTATATCATGTATATGATATGTTTCCTTATTTATGTTCAGATGTAAATAATGACTATATCTAGAAAGAAATGTCACTGATACCTGTACTTTTGTGTGCCTGGTATCTGGCAGCTTTTTGTCTTACAAAAATTTGACAGGGAATATCCCTGCAGACTTTACAAAGTTGAGCGGTTTGGTTGAAATGTAAGTTATAATTAATGTAAGTCACATTTATAATTGCTTAAGCATGTTGTATTTTCACTCAATTTATTACTTTGCAGATGGCTTGATGGGAATTCACTGACCGGCCCAATACCTGATTTTACTGGATGCCCCGATGTGAAGATCATGTAAAACTCTTCCTCCATTTTTCATAATTATATATATATATTATTAAAATAAATATACTGACTTAAAATCTTTTCTGAAATAGTCATCTGGAGAACAATCAGTTGACGGGTGAACTGCCTTCCTCTCTATCGAATCTACCAAATTTGAGGGAACTGTAAGTTATCCGAGTATGAATACAGTAACTGCTGTACCTTTCTAAGAAGATTTTATATCAGTACGAGCACAAATCAAATATATTCCTAATTACAACTAATGCTTGAAAGTGATGAGCAATGACCACTAATTATTTTATTACTCCAAGGATGCATTTGGTTAATTTCCTATTCAATTTCTTTTCCAAATTTTCAAATTAGTTTTTTTTTTCAAAAAGCACTTTTAATATTATTCTTAATATGCATAATAAGAACGTAATTTTTTTGTTGTGTTTTAGTACCAGGCCCACATTCAACTCTTTGGTGGTGGAAATTTAATTCCTATTCTTCAAGGTTAGAACTTAGATTTTCACCATCAAAGAATTCAAGTTGGGGATGTTGGTAACTCAAACACAACAAATTACAAGCTGATTATGCATATTGGGACTGATAAGAGGAGTAGAACTTGAATTGACTACCAATAGAATTGGAAATGAACTAAACCTGGCATAAGTGAGAATTTTGGTTTATTATGTATTTTTCTTTCCGATTCTTTTTTCAATCATCCTCCACCTTATATTGTTGATGCATCTGATGGTTGCAGTTATGTGCAGAATAATATGTTATCTGGAACAGTACCATCTGGTCTTCTCAGTAAAAACTTGGTTCTGAAGTGAGTATCCTTTTTAAAAGCATTAATACCCATTATATGTGTTAAAAAATGGGCGAAAGCGATTAAGACTCTACTTTACAAGCTATACAAAACTTTCAGTTACGGTGGTGCAGTGGAAATGTCTATGTCAATTTTAACTCACGTATATTTGTTGCTTTGTGCAGTACATGTTACTGCATGCATTTGTTCCAGATTATACAGATATTATATAGCACCCTATTTTGGTCTTGTAAGTCCAAGTGAGATTTTTGGAGAGTGTCTGTTGATGGAAACTAATGTCTAGCTTTTGAGTTTAGCACAAATTAAATTTTAGTACCTTGTAGTTTGAGGTTTTTCAAATTTTTGCTTTTTTGGTACTCGTAATTGAATGTTAATCAACCAATGTAACATTGTTGGTTTTATACATGGATGGTCTGGATGTTAAAATGTTTGACACGTGAATGATTCAAGTTAGACTTTCTACTATTAGAAAAACCGATATTTAAAAATGTCGAAAAGTTAAAACAAAATAAAACTCGAAATATCAAAAGGAGAAAAGAAAGACAAATTAGAGAAGTTTTAGGGAAGTTTTATATTAAATTTAGCTAATAAAACTTTCAATTTCTTTTTTGGTTTTTAATCTTTTAGGTCTTAACTAAGCTGTTATGCAAAATCCATTCCGTTCATGTTTTTAAACTAAGATTGTTATGTTACGTGAATAAAGGTCAAACCACAAGTACTGAAACTGATAAAAATATACCCCATGAGTTGAATCTGAAAATATCCCAAGTATAGGTTATCAAACTGTATTTTATCCTTGACTTCATTCACTTGGTGGACCACAGAGAGAAAAATAGGACGAAATAAATAACGTTATTGAAATCTCTATTTGTTTATCAGCAATTGAAGGCTATGCAGAAGCTCCGATGAATTCTTTATTTTGAGGAAGTATAATATTAGTTTGTACCTAATTATGTAAGGGCCACAATCCAGAATTATTTAATAAAACTGTTAAATGAAAATTTCAGTTGATGTTTTAGTTTTTTCAGCTGAAATTTTGTTTCTAGATCAATTTATAAATTTATACTGAATTTACAATCTCTCATTTGTTTATTAACTTGCACTTCTATGTTGGCCTGGCACTCCTGCATGTTTACGTTGAATTTTTTCTTCCCTCATCTTTTGTCTCCAACAGCTACTCTGGGAACATTAACCTTCGTGAAGGTGGTGGAAGGGGGAAACACATTGGTATCATCATTGGCTCGTCAGTTGGAGCTGCTGTTCTGCTAATAGCTACTATTGCATCTTGCATATTTATGCGCAAAGGGAAGAGGAGATATAATAATCGGGGTATGGCTCTTAATAATTTTAATATTTATGTTGCAGACATTGATCTATCATTTCGCTCAAACATTTTTTTTCTTTGATTTATTTCAGATGAACTTAGACATTCCTTGCCAGTTCAAAGCCTAGCTTCTACCTTGAATGACGCTCCTGCAGAAGCTGCACATTGCTTCTCGCTGTATGAGATTGAAGATGCTACAAAATCTTTTGAGAAGAAAATTGGTTCTGGAGGATTTGGAGTCGTGTATTATGGAAAAATGAAAGATGAGAAGGAAATTGCAGTGAAAGTTCTTACAAGTAATTCTTACCAGGGAAAGCGGGAGTTTACTAATGAGGTAAGCTTACCTACTTCTGTAATATATCCTAGCCTGTCCTTTTTTGGTTTTATGTTCTTTTTTCTTGCCCTCGTTGTGGAAGCTTAAGTTCTCTAGCTTGTCAGTATTATTCCATATATACTTATGACTTAGATAGAGAGAGTTAAGTGCTTTTTAAGACTTTATTTCATGATAGCAATAAAAAATACTCAATAGACTAGTTGGAGATGTTTAACCAGTGAAGTAGAGAAGAACTGAAAGTGTGTTTACTGGACTAGCTACTGAGTTCCAAATCTTCTTTTAAAGAAAAAGTGAACCCAGATCATGTCTTGCATTTATATTCTACAGGAAACTTGGGTCACAGTTTTTCTCCCTCTAAAGAGTTCTGAAAGGAGAACTGCTCAGATATAGACACTTGGAGTCGTTGTAAAGTCAGTTAAGATTAAATTCGTTAATCTTTTTAGCAGTTCTACCTTCTTCACAGGCAATTCTGTAGAACAAAACCATTTCTAACTGCTTCCAAGAATTCTGTCAGTTTCTGGGACTGATTATGTAGATAGGACAATAAAGTTATGAATTAGTCTGAAAAACTTGGATGAATGGAGTATTTAAGAATAGTTTTCTAGAACTATCATGATAAGATTAGGAATCAAAATGCAAACCGTAAAATAACATTTTAAATCTAGCAATTAATATAACAGTAGAATAAATTGGAGTAAAGACCCTTTGTTTTGCATATGCTGCTTCAACAAGTAGAAGAACTCATATGCTGTTCATGGTTGAGAGTTGTTTATAGTTGCAATAGACCCTGACAATCTAGGGAATTAAAATATTCTCCTGTTTGATATAGGTGACACTGCTTTCACGGATACATCATAAGAACCTTGTTCAGTTTCTTGGATACTGTCAAGAAGAAGGAAGAAGTATACTTGTTTATGAATTCATGCATAATGGGACTCTCAAAGAACATCTTTATGGTAAGTCCTCTGTTTCTAAATGTAAGCAATATGAAATTTAAGCTTTTTCGTAGTAAATTTAATATTCACAGCAAGACCGAAGACCAGCTGCTTGGACGCAAGTGAGCCCACCAACAAGAAAAAAATTGAATAAACTCTAAATAGTTATTCATAAATCTTTTGTTAGGTCCTTTAACACGTGAGCAGAGTATCAACTGGATTAAACGCCTTGAGATTGCTGAAGATGCTGCAAGAGGTATGTGAAGGATAAATTATCTTCTTTTATACAAAGGTTTATCACTTTGAGCAATTATATTAATTCTTTTCTCCTGCTTATTCAGGGATTGAGTATCTTCATACGGGTTGTGTCCCAGCTATTATCCACAGGGATCTAAAAACTAGTAATATTCTTCTTGACAAACATATGAGGGCAAAGGTTTCAGATTTTGGTCTTTCAAAATTTGCAGTAGATGGGGCTTCCCATGTATCAAGCATAGTTCGGGGTACTGTAGGATATTTGGACCCTGAGTAAGGCTACTTTTCTACTGAAACCTCCTACTTTGCTAATGTTAAAGCTATTGGCTGCAATTGATATGACTAAATTGTGTTGTGTTTCTCAGTTTTCTATGTATATACGATACCTCTTGTACTTACTGTTAATCTACACATGGGGAAAAAAATGACTATGGGCATACATGATTTTTTACTCTGAGATTCTGTCCATAATGCACATATCGCTCTTGGCACCGCCTTCTCTATTTCTGAAGTTATGGACATGTTATGTAAAATATAGGTTTCGAACTTTGGCTTAGGCATCTAAAATCTCACCAAAAGGGAGTGGCTAAAATAAGAGTTGATTCTGATTATATAATATGTATTGTATTTGATGCTTAGAGGAAAAGTAAAATATAACATTACATTGAGATGATCAACCACCCTTCATAAGAAGAGGGAAGTTGAAAAAAAAAAACTAACGGTTCTTCTGTCATTCTATTCTTCTTCCAGAGAAGTTCTTTTAAGTTAGGAGCATTTGAGTTGTGATTAGTGTTTTTTATTATTTGATCACTTTTTCTACCATAGATGGATAGGATCGGGATTTGTCTTTTTGTGTTGGACTTTTCACTGCTGAGTTAATTTACTTATTTGATAGTCCAAGTACGTCATACTGTATACATTTCTGTGAAACTTTAGTTGTAAATAGCAGGAGACTATCTCATAAAAGATTTGCTAAGTGAATCAAATGCCCTGTCCGCATTGAATTGATTAATTTTCATATGGTATGCAGGTATTATATCTCACAGCAATTAACAGACAAGAGTGATGTGTACAGCTTTGGTGTTATTCTTCTTGAGCTGATGTCTGGTCAAGAAGCCATATCTAATGAAAGCTTTGGCGTAAATTGCCGCAACATTGTCCAATGGGTAAGTTTGGTTACAAATCCAAAGAATTATGGGTTCTACTTACTATATGAATTTATATGTTCTTTTTCTCTATATGTTTATGCACTGCAACTCTGGAAACAAAAACAAGGTTTTGAAACTGATAGCAAGGATATGGCATGATGAAGAAAACAACTTATAGTTTCACTATTATTTTCTATATATTGTTTTCATTTCATAACTAATATGATTTCATGTGAAAAAATATATATAAATTCAGAATTCAAGAACTAGAAAATGTATAAATATAGTAAATACAACCATAAAGGTTCATTAAACAACTTCTTCTAGAGTAAATACTCAGGATGAAATTTCTAACTCGAAGTTTTGTCTTTTGATTATCTGAAGATTCCAATGTTAGTCAAATAAGAAACTAGAGCTCATGAATCTGAAATGATGTAGGTTGTGTAAAAGTTCAGAATAGTACCATTTTCTATGTGGACTGTTAATTACAAGCTTTTATGCAATAATGGTTTTGAAATCTGGTATTATTACATGCATGAACTTAGTCTCACCTGTTAAATTTCCTTCTGTAATTTTGTTGCAGGCAAAGTTACATATTGAAAGTGGTGACATACAGGGAATAATTGACCCTTCGTTACACGATGAGTATGATATCCAATCCATGTGGAAGATAGCCGAGAAAGCCTTGATGTGTGTTCAACCTCATGGACACATGCGTCCATCAATATCTGATGTTCTAAAGGAGATCCAGGATGCAATCTCAATTGAAAAGGAAGCCTTAGCTGCAAGAGAAGGTAACTCAGATGATATGTCAAGGAATTCTATTCATTCTTCACTCAACATGGGTTCATTGGATTTGGTTGGAACTGAGAATTACCTGTCGCTCGATGAGTCTATTGTCCGGCCAACTGCTCGATAAGTTCTTTGCTCAACCTTTTTTTGGTTTCTATCCTCCTAAACATCACGTTCTGTTCAAAAGGGCAAAATTGTTCTTCTCTTCTTTTTTTTTGACTTATTGTTATGTGATTATGTTGTAGCTGGAATTTTGAAGTTGGAACATAAAGAAAATTGGGAAATTGTTGATAACAAAGCTGTTAAAATTATAATTGATTCTTGTTATTAGATTCCACAAGATAAAAATGAATTCTATTTTTCATTAACCCTTGAAAAGGCCGTTGTAGAAACTTAAAAACGAGCTATTAAGAACTTCATATAGAGGACATACCGATTGAGTTAAATCGTCCTGCGTTTCAAGAATTCTGTTTAGTAAAACAAAAGTTGGTCTAATTGTAGTTTGATTTTCTAGATCAAGATTATATTAAAATTATAAAAATTTCTTCCATTAATATTATAAATAACAGAAGTTATATTTTATTATTCATCTCCGCATACTTCTATAATACTTAACACAGCTCTCTTAAGAACACATTTAAAGAGAAACTAGAGTTGTATCAAGAGACATAATCCAATCATAGGACGCATAAATGAATAAATTATGAGGGCTAATATAGTTTAACTTATAATAATATTAATTATTATAATTATAATTATAATTCATTCTTTTGAATCATAAGAAGTAAAATTATTTATTATTTTTATTATACTATAGTATTTTTATGGTTTTTCAAAAAGAAAACTGGGAAAAAAATAGAAAAAGGCCCATGCCCAAAAAATCAAAACCAAGTAATTTCAAAACGAGAACTTACAAATTCATCAAAGCCTGTCCCAGCAGATAGTTAATTGAAGCCCATCATCTGCCACCAAACAAAACAAGAATGAGAGAAAGAGAGAATTTCTGGGTGGCTGGAGCTGTCCGGTATAAAAGACATGTATATATATACACACATACACATATATCAATTTCAATTAGAATGAGAGAAATACAAAACTGGAAAATCGGGATGATCTCCCTTTTCCTTACAAGACCAACTTACAGAAGAATTTTTCAAACTAACCCTAACCTAGCTGTATTGAATTACAGAAGAACTTTACAGATGATGATCAAATGGAACATTACTGAACTATGCCGCGACACATTGGGCAGGTCTTCTTGTTTTTCAACCAGCGGAAGATGCAGGCATCGTGAAATATATGGCGGCATGGCATGTTAATGAGATCTTTGCAAGTCGACATATCATCCAGACAGATTGCACAGATACCCACCTCACTACCATCAAGATCCTCAAACCTTCTGTCTCTTCTCAACTTTTCTATTACCCTTTCTGAATCTTGATCCTGATCTTGATGTTGAAGTTGTTGGCCTTGATGATGATGATGTTGATGTCCATAATCAGGATGCATCACCGACGTATGGAGCCAATGGATTATAAACCTCTCCTGCTCTGCACCTCCATCTTCTTGATCTTCATCTTGATCTTGAAGATGGTCATGATTTTGATCTTCATAATCAGGATTCACCAGGAGCCAGTCGATTAGATCATCGGTTGTCTCAGTTAATTTCTTCGATTAAATCAGTCCACAACACCTCCGTGTCAACATAAACGAGGAAGCTGTTGCTGCCGGAGCCAGCAAGGCGGCGTGCATAAGAGTAGATATTACGCGCCATTAAGTTGCAGAGATCAAGGTCTCCATTAACATTGAACATTAAGTGACCCCAGAATGTGATTCTGAGCAGTGACTTGGGAAATGAATAAGATGATCGGAACGTGGAAGGAGAAGATGGTGGGATGTCCCATTAGTTGGATAATCCAGATCGTCTCATGCCTTGGGGTTAACTTGATGTTGGTCACTCGGATGCTTACAGTTGCGATGTTTTGGATATTGTGCGGCCATGGCAATGTACTCAACCCTATCTTTACCTCTCTTAAACCAGTCGCCATTTTTGAGGAAAACAGAGAAATAGCAGAACAGAGAAGAGAGCAGGTAGATTGCAGAGAAGACACAGTAGAGAACAAAGCGTTGGGAAACAAAGGTTTTCGTTGCCGGTCTTTGTTTATAGAAGAAATCAAAAAAGGAAACCAGGGTTTATTCCTGGAATGAGTCGGAAAACCAGGGTGGATTCTTGGAAAGTTCATGAAAATCATATTCGACGCTATGGAGTTTATGAATTGATTTTAATTAATTACAGGTTTCCGGCTTTGAATCCCGAATTAGGAAAATAGAATTTCGACCGTTCGATTTTCTTATATTACACGTGGGTTTTTCCTGGAGTTGATCATCTGCTCCGTCGCGATATAATGCTGCTGAAACTAAATGGCACAAAAAAAAAAAAAAAACAATTAATCATCAATTTTCTTAAAGCAAAAATGAATAAATAAATGGATTAATCATGGATTTATCCATCATTAGATGATTAATTAATTAATCATTTAATTAAGCATGCATGGATTTGCATGGTATGACTCACAATTCTACGTCCACTGGAGAGAGCAAGAGCAAATTTAAAAAACTTAATTAACACATTGACGGTATTCTTCACTTGCTCTAAATTTTCTCCTTCAACTTTTATCTTCTTTTTTTTTTTTATAGTACATCAATAATTTACTGAAGCAAAATTAAATAAGATATTGAATTGAATTAAAAATGAAATTTAGTTTCATTAAAATTTCTATCTTCTTTATAGTATAATCATACTTTTATTCCACAAAATTGAGGGGAAAAAAAAAACTCAAACTTAGTATATAAATAATAGATGATATAATTTTCTATCAAATTAAAATTTGGAAAATTCAGTTCTTTTCTAATATTCCAAATGTAAATAGAAAGAAAATCAACTACCAGAGGTTTAACCATATTAAGTTGCAGCTTCAACATATTTTTTGAATTTTCTCCCAGAAAAGTAGTTTTGAATCAAATACCATATTAAGGTTGAAGAGGTTTAAAGAAATAAATTTATGAAACTTTCCAAAAAAAACCTAGCATTCGGTTAAATCATAAAAAAATCTTGTGAAAATTTATATCCAGCTATTTGTAATTGAAATTTCAATAATTATATTACCTTATTAATTTTTCTCAGCTTTTCTCCCTTTCTCTTCTTTTGTGTTTGGCGTCGCACTGAATCTGCTTCTCCACCAGCGCTTTCGTCTTCTCCGCTTCAGGTTCTCCTTTCAAATAAGCTCATTCTGTTACTGATCTCTGCTTCTGTAATTCTACTCTGCAATCATGCGACTCTGAATCTCTACCGACCTCTGCATTTTTTGTTTTTTTTTTGCTTCCTACAGATCTGATTTTCTGCTTTAGCTCTCTCCCTCCTCCTCTCTCAGGTCTCCTCTATTTTTGTAGGCGGAAGCATGAATGTATCTTGGATTTTTGCGCGCCCTTTCTATTTAGGCTTCCCCTTTTCCCTTTTAGTCATCCCCTTTCTGCTTACTGCAAATTTCCTTTTTCATTATCCAAAACGATGCCGCTTTGATCATTGCTGGGTTTTGGTTCCCAGCTTTTATAACGGCGCCGTTTTAGAGGGCAGGAACGGGATTTGAATGGATCTGGGCCTGGGTGCTGTAGATGTGGGTTTTGGCCTTCTTTCTCTTTTCTTCAACAATTCAACATATATCTAAATTTTATTTATTAATTTATTTTTAATTCAAATTATTTAAATTTAAGTAAAAAAAGATATTAAAAATATGATTAAAATATAATACATCACACTGCCTCGAGGTTTTATGGCTAGTTACAAAGAAGCAATGGTGAACAAACTTAGAAACTACTATACGTATTGAAATAAGCTCCACGAGCGTGGTATAACAAAATTGACTCATATTTTTCAACAATAAGGTTAAAAAAAAGTGAACATGAGCCCATGCTTGACTCGAAGAAATAAGATAATGATGATGTTACTATAATTTATATATATATATATATTGATGATGTACTTTATATATATTTATCTCATTTTTTTATAACTGAATCTAAATATAATATCATAAAAAAAATTTAAAATATCTAACTTTAAGTTTGTTGCATTTTTTTTTAAGATTGAAAAAAAAAAACAAGGAATAGATAGAATGTTATTGTGTAAGAAATGTTTTGTTACATAAAACTTTATAGAAGTTTTTAGTTGCCGATGTGAATTAAGAAGTAGTAGTTATCATGCTCCAATGAAATTTAGTGATCATCCCTAATTTTCTGTTTCCACCTTTCATAACATGGAAAATTGCATTATGGAAGACCTAAAGACAGCAGAAATGGAAAATATACGTAAAAGGAAAATTGGCTGACACTTAAAATTATGTGGTCGTCTTGTTGCTTTACCTTAAGGCAATATTAGGAATTTACCAGGAAACCCCATGTCTGATATAAGAAGATCCAACGGTCGAAACTTTGTTTTTCCTAACCCTGCCGGGATTCAAAGCCGGAATCCTGTAATTAATTAAAATCGAATATGATTTTCCTAAATTTTTTCAGGAATCAACCTGGTTTTCCGACTCCTTGTAGGGATGGACCTTGGTTTTTATTCTATAAATAAAGACCGGCAACATCAACCCTTGTTACAAACACACTGTTCTCTGCTCTCTCTTCTCTGCTCTCTCTTCTCTGCTCTCTCTTCTCTGCAATCTAGCTGCTCTCTTCTCTGTTATGCTATTTCTCTGTTTTCCTCAAAGATGAATACGGGTTTAACGAAGGCAAAGACGAGCATAAGCGCACGACCATGGCCGCAACATATCCAAAACATTGCATCTGTGACCATCCGAGTGACCAACATCAGGCAAATCCTAAGACGTGATATGCAAGGTCGTGAGACGATCTGGAATAGCATACCAGCGGCACCACCCATCGTCTTCTCCTTCCACGTTCCAATAAACTTCCTCATCTCTGAAGCCAGTGCTTGGAATTACATTCTAGATCACTTGATCATCTACGTTAATGGCGATATTCGTCTCTGCAATTTCATGGCAAACAATATCTACTCTTATGCACGCGGGCTTGCTGCCTCCGTCCACACCAGCTTCCTGGTTTCGGTTGACGCGAAGGTGTTATGGACTGATATCGTCGAAGATGCACATATAAACGAATGGCTCAATAATTGGTTTGTGCGTTATTCTCAGCATCGAGATCATCATCATCGTCAAGATCAACTTATTCAAGATCAAGATCATCAAGATCAAGAAGATGAAGAAGATTCAGCAAGGATAATAAAGAAGTTGAAAAGAGAAAGAAGGTTTGAGGATCTTGATGGTAGTGACGTGGGTATCTGTGCCATTTGTCTGAACGATATGTCGGCCTGCAAAGACCTCATTGACATGCCCTGCCGCCATATCTTTCACGACTCCTGCATCTTCTGCTGGTTGAAAGACCACAAAACTTGCCCAATGTGTCGCAGCATAGTTCATTAATATTCTATCCTATCATCATCTCTAATTTTCTTCTGTAATTTTGTAATTCTCTCATTCTAATTTCAATTGATAAAATGGTGGGTACATATATGTGTGTACGTGTGTGTGTGTGTGTGTGTGTGTATATTTATATATATGACATCTTTTATACTGGACAACTCCAACCACCCAGATATTCCTTCCTCCTGTAATTGCAACACAAATTCAATACTTTCTGTAACTACCAAAAATTCAATGTTGTGTCTAATTTTCTTTTATAATTACAAAGAGGAAAGAGAAAACAATAGAAGGATCTAATATCCACCTTCTTCGTTTTTTCTTCACTGGACTCCACTAAAAGTGAACTCTTCTTCCTTTTTGCAAATTTTTTGTTCTTTTTCTCGGCCTTAAGCTTCATCATCTCCGTGGGATCTCTCTTTTATCTGCTTCTCTCTGAGAACTCCCATCTCCAAGCTTTTTTTTCTCAACAGCTTCCTCCTTTTTTCAGCCCTCTCTCTCTTGTCCCTGTGCGAGCTCTCCTCCCTCTACTTCCGTCTTCGGCTTCGCCTTCTTTATAGGCAAAGAGAGACGATATTTCTCACTGAAAATCCTATCAGAGTATATTTATCCTCATCAGTGCGTGATCGCCTCTCCTCAGAGATGTGCACGTTTTTCTCTCCCTCTTTCTTCTGTATCTTAATCTAAACGACGTAGTTTTGATTAGTGAATAAAACGACGTCATTTCTAACTGGTTGGCTTGAAACAACATCGTTTTGGGCACTGGGCGGTTGGACCACGAGCATCAGTGAACTGGGCAGCTCCGAAGCTGCTAATCCTTCCTGAGCTTTGGGCTTGGGTTGTACTGAACCCAAACCCATTCTTTTTTTTTTTTGTTTTATTAAAAATAACATTCAATAACAAAACAATAATAATAATAATAAATAACAAAAATGATAATGATAATAATAATAATAATAATATGGGTTCAAAGTCGAAGACAATTTAAAAGAAGAGTTTAATTGAGTTTTTAAGTTTTTAGACTTTTAAACAAATTTCTCAACTTCTCTTCTTTTATGTGATATTCGACCTGTGGTAGAAAAATTTTATCGTATCAATATCTCAATTAATTAAAATGTATATAGTTATCGAGTAATGGTGAAATTTACACTTTTTGATTAAATTCTCAATAATGATAATGATAGTATAACAAGTGCTAACAACATGTTTTATAATAATGATAATGATAGTATAACAAGTGCTAACAACATGTTTTATTTATGATCAGATATCCAAATGTATATATAAAATATAAGTGAGGATGTAATACCAAATGATAATGATAAGTAAATAAAATAAGAAATGGACGAGAGTATAAACTCTTTTATAGAATTTTGTCCACAGTATTTATGTCATATCTCATTTCTTAAGTCAACTACTTGATATTATATTATTTATTTTAAAGTATTGTAATACACTTGTTGTCGTCATAACCAATTCACCAATCGTTAATCTGTCACACAAGAACTCGTAAAAATTTTCTTACACATTTGTTATACTATTTGTTGTATTTAACTTACCAATCTACAAGTCGTTTTTGATGTTTAATTCACCAATAACTTGTATTTTTTTATACAAAAAATTTTCAAAGATTTGCTCAAATAGTTGACTTATAAGTGAATAACTTACTTATGACATAATGAAGGCTCAAGAAAAATGATAAAATATTTTATTTTTCTGTATTTTCTCATTTTATGTATAAAAAATCATACTCAAAACCTATTGGAGGACTGTATTATATATAGAAGTCTCAAAATAACCATTATAAATAATTTAAATTTAGTTTTGATATACAAAAATGGTGCATAAATATTTTCCAAATTTGCAGAAAATTTTTGTAAAAATCGCTTTTACTAGCAACTAACCTTAAAAGACCGATTTACTAACCTTAAAAGACCGATTTACTTATAAAAACTATTATAATTTTTTTGAAATATTATTTTTTTTTCTAACTATTAAGTGATACTTGACTAATATTCTCAAAATATTTTTTCTAACATATTTAACATTAAAAAAAATATATTTTAATTTAAAAATTATGTGATTTATACTGAGATATAAAATACACATATAACCAATTATATTTAATAATAAAGTGTCATTCAAGTATGTGTTAGTAATATTTTTCTGATCCACCTTTCATGTCACACTATTCTTCAAGATACTATACTATAAATACATATAAATGATTCTTTGAATTATATTTACTGACATAAAATGAATATTTTCTTAAGCTCTTTTGCTTTCTAAGTTCCTCCAATATATAAAACTCATTTTAAAATAATTTTAATAATTATTTTGATAGAGTTATCATTTAAAAATGATGAAAAGTTAATTTCTAAAATAGTAAAAAAAAATTTTGAAGAGATTTTTCAAATAAAATCTTTTTAATCTTCAATCATGAGTTTGCTAATCTTTTTAATCTAAAAATATATTTACTTTTAGTCTTCATTTTGTTTCTCTTATTGTTAATGCTCTTACGATCTTCCATGAATGTTCAACTTTCTTTAGTCATGGATTTCATATTTAGTCAAACGCTTATGTGGTATTGTCAACGTGAAGATAAATTTATATTATTTATCAAAATTAATAAATTGATTAATGTGTTTTATAAATAATAAAAGTCACAATAATTTTACAATTATAAGTGATTTTAATCTCAATCTTCAGTTAACAACGGATTATCGTTATTATTATTAATCTAATTATTATTTTTATTATATCACTTAATTATTTATTATTAGTAATATTATTATTGTTGTTATTATTGTTATTTTATTTTATTTTTTGTCAGACAAAGTTGATATATGACAAATAAAAATATTAAGAAATAATTAACATCAAAATATCAAAATCGAAAAAAAATATATTATAACTTTTAATTGAACATAAAATTCGAGGTTTAGGAAGAAGGATACCCAGTACATACTTGTTTTATGGACAATAAGCTTGTTCAATAATAATGATTCATCAGTTTAAAATATATACATATATATGTGTGTGAAATTTATTTAGGAAAAAAACACAAATTGAATGCTTGGGATTTTAAAGAAGGCAATTGTTTCTATTTTATAACGTTATATTATTATTGTCTTATATGAAAAAATAAAGATTTATAATATATTTTTAATTAATTTAAGGGTGAAAGATTATGAAGATGTCAAGCCTATATTTGGCACGGAGTGTAAAGGGCAAAAACACGAAATAAAAGGAAAAAAAAAAAAAAGACAAAACGACGTCGTGAGAAGAGAAGACTTATAATATATTTTCAATTAATTTAAGGGCGAAACATTATGAAGCTGTCAAGCCTACATTTGGCACGGAGTAAAAAGTCCAAAACACAAAAAGACAAAAAAGAAAGACAAAACGACGTCGTGGGAAGAGAAGATTGCAACACGTGGTCCAATGGGATTGCTCCAATAAAACCAAGAAGCAGCAATCTAACAAAGCCGGTCAAGAAAGAAAATTAAAAACGAATATATATGTAAAAAAGAGAGTCTGAGATCAGATCAGATCAGAGAAGAAAGAGGAAAAGAAAGAAAAAAAAAAAAAAAAAAAAAAACAAAAACCAACGGTGTTGATAAAGTCTATCCTCTCATCTCAGACGTCTTCCCCCATATCCGTTCTCCAGCGTCCGATCCCCTCTCTTTCCTCTTCAATCCAATCCCAATCTCTCCCGCCCTTTTACAAATCACCAGGTAAATAACCACCAGTACCACACTCTTCACCTCCTTCCTTCAAATCAAACCACTCTCTCCATATCCTTCTTACGATTCTCTCTCTCCAGAAAAATTTTCTTTCGCTTTTGAGTGAACCTAGGGTTTCTGTTTATGGATTTGCGAATCTTCCTTATTGTTGTTATTGTGGTTATGCAGGTTTTGGGAGATGGCGGAGCAGCAGGCTCAGGGACAAGGGGCGCCGGCGAGCCCCGGTGGTGGAAGTCACGAGAGCGGCGACCATAGTCCGAGATCGAACGTGCGCGAGCAGGATAGGTACCTGCCTATTGCTAACATCAGCCGAATCATGAAGAAGGCACTTCCTGCTAACGGCAAGATTGCAAAGGATGCTAAGGAGACCGTCCAGGAATGCGTTTCTGAGTTCATTAGCTTTATCACCAGCGAGTATGCTTTTTTTTTTGGTTTCATTTGTCTGTTTTAATGACCTCGACGCTTTTGGTTATCAAATTTATTGATCGTGCTCTGAGAACTGGTTATTAATTTCTTAGCTTCGTTATTAGCTTCAGTATGTTCTATTTATCCCGCTTGCCCTGGAAAAAGAAAATACTTTCTGGTGGTGAATTAAACGTATATTTAGTCACTAATTTCATTATCCGCAAGTATATTTGTGAAGGAGGAGAAGAAAGAAATACATAGAGAAGAAAAAGAAAGAAATACCGGGAGAAGAAAGACTGATAATTATCATTTCTCACATGTCTTTTCTACTGGTCCATCCCTATTAATACCATTGTCAGCTATTAACTGCCTGTAACTATCTCAGAACCGTAACTAACCAGCTATTTCATCATTTCATACATATCTTCAATACTTGCGCTTAAAAGTCACCTTCAGGGAGATCAAAGTGGTCCTCTTGTGGACATCCCATAAAATTGAATCAAATCAAAATAGGTATGCTATCATACTGAAAAAACTTTTTTTTTTTGGTAATTCTCTAATCATACTGAAAAATTTTAATTGCCTTCAGCTTCAAATCTGCCATTTTTGTGTTTTACTGTGCCTAATCAAAGCATCCAACTAGTAGCTGGACCAAATGATTTTTTGGATGAAGTTTGTTATATAGCGAAGCATCAGAAGGAACTCCAAGCAAACTGAGACAGAGAACCTTTTTTTTTCTTTTTTTTTTTTTTTGCAAATGATTGATTGGAAAGGCAAGCCTGAACCTTCATTGAACACCATCTTCTTCATCCTATTCCAAGTTCTATAGACAACCTTTCTGATCTCTGATACTGTTCGACAGGTCTTGTTAGGTCTGACAGCAGAAAATTCCTATTAAAGATAGGAATTGCCAAGATTTGATCCAAGATACATATTAAGTACCCTCTTTGTATCCACAGCTTCTTGTACGCTCCAACCATCTTCATTGTTGTTGGCGCCAAGTTGGTGGGAGCCAACTTCTCTTTAAGCATTGGTGGTTTCTCCGAAGATACACTTGATTCGGACAAATTGTCTTGCAAATCTTCAGTTGAATTTATCGGCCAAAGCTGCAAAACACTCAGCTAGGGTTTGATGTCCTCTTTTAGTGTCTTAAGTTCTTCTTTCTGAGATGAGTTTAGGGTTCAAGGAAAAATTTATGGAGACAAGAAGAAGTATTTAATGATTGGTAAGTTTTGTTTCATTTTTCTTCAAGGAAGAAAGTGGATCATGTGCTCTAATACTATTCATGTGTAAAGGAGGAGAAAGAACTACAAAGAGAAGACCGAAAAAAATACAAAAGAAGAGAGGTAGATGAGAGTATAGACAGATATGAAGAGGAGTGAATAATTTCTATTATGCCTGACATTCCTTTACAATTGGGTTTCATCCCTATAAATACAATCATCAGCTACCAACTGCTTAACTAACTATCTCAAACCCCTAACTAACCATCTACATCCTTTCCCACATAACAATCAGATATCAATTTTTAGTTATTTATTTATGTTATTAATTGTTTTCTGATTGCTGTTTTTGAGTCTTAATGGAGGACTTGGGTGGCTGACTGATTGCAGGGCAAGTGATAAGTGCCAGAGAGAGAAGAGGAAGACAATTAATGGGGATGACTTGCTTTGGGCCATGGTGACTTTAGGTTTCGAAGATTATATTGATCCACTCAAGGTTTACCTCACTAGATACAGAGAGGTGCCTTACTTGCTCTTTGCATTTGAAGTACATTACTCCATTATGTTTGCTCTGGTTCATTGCTGAAACAGTAGCATAGAGTGGGAGAAAATTAAGAAATTGAATTACGTTCTTTTGGTTATACTAAAATGTCAAAGTTATGAGATTTTGTAGAGGAATAGTTATGTTTGGTTGAATTATGTTCCATTGATTAATTGATGTTTCTCTTTTCCTTGTTTTGTTTTTTGGTTGTGTATTTGGTCGATTGGCATGCTGCAGATGGAGGTGAGTGAATATTCTTCCCCTCTTAACTTGTTTGCTTTTCTTAATATATCTTCTATGCTTCATGTTTTGATAAACTTCTCCATTTTTCTTATGGAACTCGCTAAGTTCTTTTGGTGGTATACTCATTTAATGTGTTCAATAGGGTGACACAAAGGGATCTGCAAAGGGTGGTGATTCATCCATTAAGAAAGATGTTCAACCAAGTTCGAACACACAGGTTGGTTATGAATTTTTTATTGAGTTATGCATTTTTTTTTTGGAAATAAAAAAGAAGTATATTATTATAAACATAGGTATCAAGGAGGTACCACCCATATACAAGATAATTACTTTATTGAGCTATGCATTGTGCTATTTTAACTGGAAATGTGTGCAGCTGAAAATCCTAACACGTGCTTTTCTGCACTTCTGGTAATTCTTGCAGCTTGCTCATCAAGCCTCTTTCTCACAAGGTGTTAATTATGGAAATTCCCAAGTAACCTCTCTCTCTCTCTCTCTGTCTCTCTCATATATTGTATACACTTATATAGATGGTTAGATTTCTCCTTATGCATGTGGCACACGCTCCCTGGTGCTCACATCCCCTTTTACACACTGTATATTTCGCTTCAAGAGCTGATATAAATGCATAACATGGCTTAAACATTCTAATATCTTGATACTGTCATACTTCTCTATATGCTATCATTTCTGGGATGGAGTACTATCTGGGATAAGGTCACAATCAGCCTGTTATAGTCCCAACTAATGGATCTAGTTATAGGACGATTAACACATAAATCAGTAGGAAGAACAACCTTCTTCTTTGATTTTCTGCCTTTACCTATTTGTAGATTGAAATTAAGAGCTCGTTGGGAAGAGAGACCCTACAATCTCTAGAGTAAGAAAGTACTCTGCTTTAAAATTATTCTTCATACATAATCTGTCGTAAAGACAGCAATTCTGGTTTTATTGCAATGAGAGGGTAGTTATCTAGATGTTATTTTCAGAATTTAGTAACTACCTTCTCTAATCCCCTTTATTTCGAAAAAAAAAACCTTCTCTAATCCCCTTAATTTCTTACTACTAACTACCTGTATTTCACTTAACATTCCTACAATTGTTTTTGGAAATAAAATACCAAAAAAAGACAGAATATTCTGACAAATTTCAGAAAGTCTTCTCCTTTCCTTATTACGTACATCTTAGTTGCACCCTAACACAGCCTGGAGTTCTTCTTTTCTTTTTCCAACAGAATGATGATAAAAGGATCGGTGGCTATTCAGGAATACATTTTATTTCTTTCTTCTCATTCCTGCAACTTGAAGGAAGTTACCTGAGTCTCATTTTTTTTTTCTATTTTGGTCTGTATCCATGCAGTTCTAACATAACATGATATGATATCATGGGACACGTGTTATGGGACATCACGTGTGATAAAGTTGAAAGTAGGCAGTTTCCAGTAATTTGTAATATCTAGCAGTTTATGGATATTGCTTGGTAATATGAGGAAACTATAATTTCATCCAATTTAGTGCTTAAAGGAAGCTATCCCAATGAATTTTTAATCTAAGTCATACATAATTCTTAATGGGCATTTTCTTGGGGTAACAGAAGTTTTGTTGCACTCTTATATGACCAAAGCAAGAAATAACAAAAAATGTAACAGACCAGGTAAGCAATTATTAGTTTCCACTTTTAGAAGTTCAATGTGAACAGTAGAATTACCACAGTATACGCAGTGCAGAAGAGCATCTTTTGATGTTAAAAAAATCACCTAGTTTCAGATGAATTCATAACACTGCTAAGTTTTCTTAGATTCAGGAATTTTTAATTCATAAGTTTACCAAATACTTTCTTCTGCTTAAAGTTTTCTGAGTCTGCATAGTTTCTGAGTCTTTTGATTTGGAATGATGTCAGAGAAAATGATGTTGCAGTTTTATCCTAGCCTGATATCATGCTTTCATAACTTGTATTTCATATTAATTTGTGATTGCTTGCTAGTGTCACACTCATTAAATATACATGTAATCATATTTTTCACATTTACCTATCCATATTTTTTGAACAGTTCAAGTTTTCAGCATTCCTTTTGGCTAGTGACCTAGGATGACTATGGATCCCATATATTGTTTGGAGAGCATGCTCTGAGGCTTGATTATTGTTTATTAATCTGCTGTAAAAATGAAGGACACTCATCATGAATTTGATTCTGCAGACCGCGTCACACTATGCCACGATTCATTGCTAAATCTTTCACCACCATTCTGCTGTTATCATTATTGCAACTTCTCACCATTATGTACTTTGCTATTGAGTGTGCTGACTAGAAAGAATTTTGAGTGCCAATATCATTATAATTTTCAGGGAAAAAATTGTGAAAGATGAGATGACTTAGTGAGATATAAGGACTATGGTGGTTTATTTTATGATGTCTTGCAGTGACATTGTAACAAATGAACACATGTGATATTAATTTTGAAATCTGTTGATGGAATTTGAAATGTATTGTTTAAGTTCTGCTTAAAATTTTTGAGGATGTTAATTTGCTTAATTTTTTTAAGAGATTCCATCCTTTTATAATTAAACTAATGATTGATTTCCAAATAAATTCTGTAAATCAAGTTCATTTGTTGCAAACATAGCCTTACCAAAGATCTACCGGGTGTAACATGCCTTATATTAATATGAGGATGTCTTGCAGTTCCATGCATGCATACTGGTCCTCAATTGGGTTAAAAATTAAGAATATAAGAAACTGTCTTATTGATGGTTTATGATCGGTATTGTGATTTTGAGACAATAATATTTTGATCTCTTGGAGTTCAGTTGTCACTTAATTTTATAGTGCATTTTTGTTTGGAGTTCTCCTATTGATGGCTCCAGGTGGATATGTTATTCTCTGCCATTGTACTTTATCTCTTCTCACTCTTCATAAGATTTTTTATCCTATAGAAAAATGAGTCATATGTTGATTGTGAAGGCCACTCTGATGAATGTGCTTCAGATTTGTGTTTGGTATCCTTTCCTCTTTGGACGTTTGTTTCTTGCTTTATTAGTTTGATTTGTGTTTGTTGAAGACATTTAATTAATGAGATATGTTCTTTTCTGGTTTATTAATTCTGATATTCTATTTGCTGGACTGGTGGTTGTAGTCGCAGGCGCAACATCTTATGGTTCCTATGCAAGGCACAGAGTAGAATCTGCTCCTCCAGCTTATTTTATTACTTAATCCCATTCAAGAAGCTTGTTTAGTGCCCACAGCAAATATTGTATCCAAATCTTGATATGGTTCGCTGCTGACGTCCTAGACAGTTTCTGTCCTCTGGTTGAGTCCGCAGGTTCATTACTGGTAAAGTTATGTATATTATACTTTATAGGATGAAAATTTGAAGTGCTGTACATCTTGGGAGGATTTCTTTTCCTAGGATTTGTAGACGGGCACTTTGCAAGCCATCTAATACTCTGTTCTGAAACTGCATGTTCAATATCACTTTGAATATGATTTTGGACAATGTAAGGATGAATGGACTGGAAGTATTTGTTTTGCCCAGTTTTTTGTTTAGTACGTCTTCTTTTGTCCCAACGGATTTGTTAATTTTTCATGTGCTACTGTCTGGTGGTGCCATTGGTATCTTTTAAGTTCCTGTGAAATGGCATGAGTAGTGTTTTCTGAACGAGACAGGAATTGTGAACTTGGGGACAGCTTGTGACAATCAGGGGCAGGCACAGCTTGCTTTAAGCACTTGCCTGGTCTTATCACTTCGGTTTCATGGGATATTTAATCAATGCACCATGATCCTAACTAGTTACTTCAGTCATTTGGTTTGATTTCATACAACTTTTATATGCATCATGAAATAAAACAGTTTATCAAATTGATTGTATGTAAATACGAAACTGAAAGGAGCTTTCTACTTAAAATAGTCATATTTCATACTCGATATCGGAAGCACCTTTGTATAATTGAACATTTGCCTGATTTTCATTTCAAACGATTTTATCCTCTGTTCCTTTTATGTGCCGGAGTAAGTGTAGATCTATAATCTCCATCTCATCTGATGGATTCTTTTTCGTGAATTTGTAGTAATCAAGAATTTGGCTTGCACAACAAAACTTATTTTAACAACATTAGTTCAGTGTTTGGTTAATAAGATTTCTACTTCACTTCTAAGAAAATATAAGTTTGATTAAAAAATATAAAATAATTAATTTTTTAAATTAAAAGTAGCCTAGTAGTTTAATTTTATTCAGTTTTTTAGAAATTTTTTAAAATTTAAAAAATATTGTTATTATTCCATCATCTAAATCCTTTAATTTTATTATTTTTATCCCCAACTCAAATTAAAAATGAAATTCCAATCAATATTTTCCAACCAAATTCCTAAACTCAAATTAACCTTTTCAGCAAGCCGAAACCCAATTCCAAATTAAAATCTCTTCTATTTTTAATCTCAAATTCCAAATCCAACTTAGGGTAATTTTTTTATTGGGAATATTAGTTCAAAAAGCCTTCATCTAATCATTATGAGTTTTATATTTCTTAAATAATTAACAGCTTGTAATTATATTAATTAAAATTATTATACTATTTGGAAATCTAAAAACCAAGTAAAAAAATAATTTTATAATTTCATTTATTAAAAATTCAATTATTCAATAATATTTTAAATGTTTCTCAATTTTTTAATTGTGCCGTAATCAAATTTTTCAACACGATGCTTAAGATTTCTCGCACGTGATGTCTAATAAAAACCAAAGTTTAATGTCAAATCCCTAGTCGGACAAGCCAATCGTATTTGTCATACATCAATTTGATGTCAAAGCTAAGAGAATCCTACACACAAACTTTTAAAACCCTACACTTAGATGGGCTGAGGTCTACATGAAAAAAATCACCAAAAGTAAATTTAACAGAAACCCTAAAATATCCATCAAGTCTGTTCATCATCCACTACCCAACAATGGTTGACAATGGCACCCCCTGCCAACTCCAAGAAGGTCCCAATCAACCAACATCCAAACCACATCACAAACTCTCGCAGAAACTGCCACACTTTGGCAGTGCAAGCTCCCACACCAATTAGTTTTTGCGAATTTAAACTTTTGTACCATCATGTTTTATACTACTTTTTAGATAAAATTTTGTGTTATTTATTTTGATTTATTCTGGCTTTAAAATTAATTTACTGTTAATAAATTAAATATTAAATTAAAAAAATACGAAATTCAAAAATGTACAAGTTGAATAAGTTGTTGATAAAATACACATTAAAGATAGATGCGAAAGATATTACTTTGAAGTTCTTAATTTTAATCAAAAAAGAAAAAAACAATTATTACGTCAGCACTATGTAGCAAGTAAATACTTTAGGGTCAAATGAGAATAGTCGTTAATAAATAATTTGAAAATATGAAGGCTAATATATAACCCAAAAAAAAAAAATAAAAAAAAATTGAAGTATTTAAACTGAAGAAACTAAATAGAATATGTATTTCGGCTACGGGCGATATTCTAGCAGAGACTTCAGCAGCTCCCCCTCGCTGCCGGCGGTCTTCATCCACCAGGCCGTCAGCCACAACGGGACGACCACCACGTCTTCCGGTATTCTTCCAACTCCAACCACGTGGCAGCGCGCAGCCACACACGAGTAGGCGCAGCCAACTCCTCCAGACCTCTCCGGCTGGGCGCCGACGAGCTTCTCTTTCCGCTCTCCCGACTCTTCCTTCACATTTAGGAAGAAACAAGCTTCTGCTTCTCTCAGAAACCTAGCTTCTGCTTTAGTGCTTCTCCATTTTGGTAATACATTTTTAAATTTTAATGTGCTTATGTTTTTCCGTTGTGTTTATTTTGTTTAATTTGTGGTTCTCCCATTCGGTTCCATTTTAATATAGTATATTTAGTGTGTAAAATGTAAATTGTGGGAAAAATTAAGGATTGTGTTTGGATTTTGCTCACCGATACAAGGAAAACTTTGTATCATCTTAAACGAACTCATTTATAGTTTTGCGAAGCGTGGCTGTCCTTGGTTGTCTGCTCAAGGATTTTCTGTGCCAACTGCTTACTAGAACGATAGAAGTAGAAGTCCTCTCCTCCGATATCTTGATTTCAACTCAAGGTACTGATCTCTCTTGCTCTGGTTTTTATTAATTTATATATGCATATCTCTAGAGAACAGAGATCGACTAATGGAGTTCGTTTGAATAAGGTTGTGAGTAGGTGTTTTTGACGGGTCAGCATTGGTAATGTTTTTTTTTTTGTTTCAATGCCGAAGCAATGCTGCGTTTCTCTTCCTGTGTTTATGTTCCATATTTTTTATAGTTATTAATATTGAATCAGGTGAAAATATATTCAGTGCGCTGATGTTTGATTTTGCATTCTGCTTTTTAGGACCTTGTTTGCAGTCTTGAAGTTGTTTCTGTATGAGGATTTGATCTGCTCTGGTTGTATTATACCAGTCTTTGGCTGGTGATTAATTCATTCATTTGTCTTTCAAAAAATAAAAGAACAGATGGCATACGGCTTGCGAGTTTGAGTGAATAAAGCTTTTGTATTTTTTATTATTAAGCTTTTATTTATTTTGATTATATTTTGTATGATTAAGATGGTGGGTTTATGTTTCTATTTTTGTCTTGATGCTGTGTAAGTGATAGAAAAGATGACAAATTTTATTATGAGGTTGGCGTTTGTTGGGTATTATAAGAAATTAAAATCTAAAGTTTAGTTGAGCTAAGGAGGGGCATTAGTTACCAGCATAATATTTTTGTCGAGGTTTGCTTATTTTGCCATACTCTCTTATTTCTTCTTGCTTGGTAAATGTACTTGTATGATGAGTTATATCAAGCTTTGGTTTTCTTGCCATGGTTTCTTGTTTGTTCTTGCTGTTTGATACAGCTGTTAGATGTTGATCTTTAAATTTGCTGTTAAAATATCACATTTACTTTAATTTCTGAAGTTTATCTTGGGAGCTCGAAGAGCTGAAATGGGAAGCAGTGTAGAGGTTAGGAAGAGGGTTGAAAGTTGAAAGAACACAGGACAAAGACTCACCAAGATTAGCATATGTTAGAAATTGTTGTGTTGATTTGGATGATGATTAGTAATTTATATTTCCAAGTTTATGTTTAGTGTTCAATTTTTAGATGTAGCCGTTCAATATGTAATTAGATTCTAAGTTTAGGTGATTCTATAAATCATTATGTATATAAGATGGATTTTTAGTTTTGTGGATGACTATGTTCTAACTATATATTTCCGATATATTTATGGTATAAAATTATAGATAAAAATTAGGTAATAAGGAATGTTTTGATCAAGCTCTTTGTTGAGCTCAATCAAGCTTGGATTTGTCATTTTTGAGCCTGTTCAATCTTGATTCTGAGCATGGGTTTGTTGGGGCTAGGTCTCTTCCGAGCTTTTTCCGAATCAATTGAGCCTAAACCTTGTATTGCTTCAAATGACCTGAGCTTGAGCCCAAAATAAAACTTGATTTGAGCTTTGATCTTAACTCGATCTTGACATTGTTCAAACAAACGGAGTTCAAATGCTCATATACTTAGCTTGGCTTTGTATGTTGCTGCCTCTGTCAGCCGCCACATGCACAAAAATATCACATAAGCAAAACATTCATGTCATCTGCCACATAACTATAAACTAATGGCCACAATGGTTTTCCTCCCCAGGGGGGTTAATTTGAATGCAACCGCAAGGTTTTAGACCTAACTGAATGCAAATTTTATGGAGGGTTGATTTAAAATTCAGTAGTAGAATGGCAGATTAGGGCTTTTGGCCAATTATAAAGAGCTCATAATTTCCTATCATTAATCGACAAAAACCTCAACTTTCTTGGCATTGATTTAAAGGAAAAGCAGAAAAGAAAATCACGGGCTACCTTTTGGGAGAGCAATGGAGATCGACAGGGAAGATGGACGTACACCGAATCAGCTGAGACCACTTGCTTGTTCTCGCAACATACTGCACCGTGCTCATGGGTCAGCTAGTTGGACACAAGGTATTTTTCAATAATTGTCTATCTGGCTTTCTCTCCTCCATGTAACTATAATTGTAATTCTTTTGTTCATATTCTCTTTCGTTTTAAATTGTGATCTTATTTTTTAATTTGTCCTCACAGTGAGTAGATTTGCATTACTTTTAGGTGGTTTTGTGTTTTAAGTTGTTTCATCCCCTCATTTATATTTGTGTTTCCAAATAGTATTGATGCTATTTTTATTTTCTGGTTTCTTGTTTCCATAAATTTTGAGTTTTTGTTTGCTTGCATAGTTAGATCCAGTGAGCGCTTGGGTATTTTTTCCATTCAATAAGAAAATCATGTTTATAGATGTATTTTAATTGGTTTTAGGAGACACAAAAGTGCTTGCTGCTGTTTATGGACCTAAAGCTGGAACAAAGAAGAATGAGAA